TTGCCGCACAGCAAGAAGGTCCTGAGTTCAATTCCAACATCAGGCCGGGGTCTTTCTGTGTGGAGTTTGCATGTTCTCCCCATGTTTGCGTGGTTTCCCATACTCTGACACTTTGATCTTAAGTAGACTGGACCAGTGAAACTACATGATAAATCTAAAAAATGACACGCACAAAAAAGTTCTGGTAGTTCAAAGGACAAAGTCCTATAGTGGAAAGTTTTATGTCATTTAATTATCTTTTTAAAAAATTACTTTGGTGTAGTATGAATAGCAGTAGAGTCTTTATCATTAAGAAACACTGCAAAACTTCTGAAATTATAATTAAAAGTCAAAATCTATGCATTACCATCCAGTGGGCCAGATTAAAATCTTCTCTGGGCCGATTCTGGCCCCTAGGCCTTATGTTTGACACCCCTGCTCTGCACCAACTTCCTGAATTTCTGTGCATTTCATGAAATGTATCTATAGGTATGACTTTACATTGAAATCATAGCACCTGTAGTCTACTATAACACCCCCTGGTGCACATCTTTTGTAGTAACTAATAATGCTGCACACAGGAAGTTGCTTAGCTTTTTAGGAAGACTTAAATAATCAGCACTAATATTGAACTGACATTCCTCTTTGCTTGTGTAGACGTTATGGAAGACCTCTACAACTATATCAACCCTTTAAATAAACGTCACTCTCCTATGATCTCCAAGGAGACGCTGGACATTGTTCTTGAAAACAAGGCTGTAAGTGGGGTTTGATTTTATCCTTTGTTCGTCTCCTCACAGTTAAGGTTTGGTGAAGCTTTTTAACACATTTTCCTCAATTTTTTGCAGCGCCTCAACTCGTCAATCATTTACGACAGAGATTTCTCTTACAACTTCTTCGGGTTTAAGGTAATTTCTCATTTTACCCTACATTTAACATCCTTTAACATCCTTTTGCAATGTTTAACATGTTGCATTATGCAGAATATTTTACCAACACTGTGGTTTATCCCGGTTTTTCAGCTGCAAAATATGTCGTCAAAGTTTGTGTCAAAGTTTGTCAGTATCAGTATAGCGCACAACGTCAGTTTTTTTTATTTCTATATGATTATTCTGCATTATTAAGCAATAAAAACAAGTTGTCTGATGTCCTCTAATCATTATGAAGCAATATGGTTATGTTCTTATTACAATTACATAATACAATTATATATTGTATTATGAAATGCAATGAAAGATTAAGTTTTTGTACAGAGTATGGGTATCGGATCAGTATCACCGATACCACCCTGAATTTTACTTGGTATCGGATCGGAAAGGAAATCAGTGGTATCGCACATCACTAGTATTCACCCCTTTTTTTTATTCTCTGACCCCTATTGTGCATACACTATGATTATGAATCTAATTTGTGCTTTTTTCTCTAACAGACTCTTGAGAGATCATATTTGTTGAAGATTAATGGCAAAGGTGAGAGTTAAATTCCCTACAACTTATTGATAAGCATGTTTATGGGTGCAGGCCATCAGGGACTAACTATTTAATGTCTTTCTCTGTAGTTGCCGAGCGACCCCAGCACATGCTAATGAGAGTGTCAGTCGGGATTCATAAAGGTGACATTGATGCAGCCATTGAGACCTACAACTTGCTGTCAGAGAAGTGGTTCACTCACGCTTCTCCTACACTGTTCAACGCTGGCACCAACAGGCCCCAGCTGTCCAGGTAAAGAATTTATAATTGAGGGTGCTGATACGCTCTGATACTGTGGGGATTTTTCCACCTAATATACTTTGTTTGGATTTCTGCAGTTGTTTCTTGCTAGCCATGATAGATGACAGCATTGATGGTATTTATGACACACTGAAGCAGTGCGCGCTCATCTCAAAATCAGCTGGAGGTATTGGAGTGGCAGTTAGCTGCATCAGATCTACAGGCAGCTACATCGCTGGGGTGAGTAAAATTTTGACGAGTTGCTTTCATTTATACAAATGTGTTTTGTTTTTTACTTAAAGTGGTGCGTGTTTGTTTTGTTTCTTAAAGACTAATGGCACTTCCAACGGGCTGGTTCCTATGCTTCGTGTGTACAACAACACAGCACGTTATGTTGACCAGGGTGGCAACAAGGTAAAGATGAGATTTTCCCATAAATTATGGAAGATGTGTAACAACAGTGTAAATAAAATGGTGCTAATCGCATGGCTTGGTTTTTGTGTACTTTAGAGGCCTGGGGCGTTCGCTATGTACCTCGAGCCGTGGCATTCTGATGTGTTCGAGTTTTTGGAGTTGAAGAAGAACACGGGTAAAGAAGAGCAGAGGGCGCGGGACCTGTTTTTCGCCTTGTGGATCCCAGACCTTTTTATGAAGCGAGTGGAAACCAATCAGGTGATTACTGGGGGGAACTCCATGCTGGCCAGAGTTGACTTTAGGGTTTTATTTTTTCCTAAATGGTGAACAAATCTTATCCTTCTGCTGTGATTGTAGGACTGGTCTCTGATGTGTCCCAGTGAATGTCCTGGATTGGACGAATGCTGGGGGGAGGAGTTTGAGGAGCTCTACACTCGGTAAGATCAGCACAACAAACTCTGTTCTCAACAAACAGCTTTTTTTTTTTTTTTCCCCAGTGCTAACCTGTCCCAATGATGGTCTTGGTTTTCAGATATGAGAAGGAGGGCAGGGCTAAGCGTGTGGTGAAGGCTCAGCAGCTGTGGTACGCCATCATTGAGTCGCAGACAGAAACTGGTACACCATACATGGTTTACAAGGATGCCTGCAACAGAAAGAGTAATCAGCAAAACCTGGGCACTATCAAATCCAGCAATCTGTGCACAGAGATCGTAGAGTACACGAGCAAAGATGAGGTGAGGGGTAAAAGATGTACTGGTCACAACAAATTTAGCTTTTTGGGACAACTATGTGTATTATTCTGTCAGAACTTGTTTTCAGTTTGGTTTGTTCTCCTAACTCAGGTTGCAGTGTGTAACCTGGCTTCCATCGCCGTCAACATGTACGTTACACCAGAAAAGACCTATGACTTCAAGAAACTTGCATCTGTTACCAAAGTCATTGTCAAGAACCTGAACAAGATTATCGATATAAACTACTACCCAGTGCCTGAGGTATGACTTCCTTTCTGGTGTTGCAGCCATGCAGCTGGGTTTCATAAGCTCTATGTAAACATAACTTCTCTGTCCCTCTTTTCAGGCTGAAAGGTCTAACAAGCGTCACAGGCCAATTGGAATTGGTGTGCAGGGTCTGGCTGATGCTTTTATCCTCATGCGCTATCCGTTTGAAAGCCCAGAGGCCCAGTTGCTCAACATTCAGATCTTTGAGACCATGTACTACGCTGCCCTGGAGGCCAGTTGTGAGTTGGCAGCAGAGCTTGGCCCTTATGAAACCTACCCCGGCTCTCCTGTCAGCAAAGGAGTGAGTAGATATCAGAGTGTCTCAAAACCATCCTGGGATACATTTTAGCAGTTTGAGATCAAAACCTAACAAACACGTTTGTTTTTTCAGATCCTTCAGTATGAAATGTGGAATAAGACTCCAACAGATTTATGTGACTGGAAAGCACTAAAGGAGAAGATTGCCAAGTAAGTTTTCCTGAATGCCTGGTTTTCAATTTACTGCTCACGTTAACCATAAATGGTGGCCATAGTTCTTACTCCTGTCCATCCTCAGGCATGGTGTGAGGAATAGCCTGCTTTTGTCCCCAATGCCCACAGCATCCACTGCCCAGATCCTGGGTAATAATGAGTCCATCGAGGCATACACCAGCAACATCTACACCCGCAGGGTGCTTTCAGGAGAGTTTCAGGTGAGTGCTGAATGCATCTGCCGACTGTGTGTTAAGACATGTGCACAGCAAAGGCAAGGCTACTATGTGTGTTTTCAACCTGTCCTATAGATTGTGAATCCTCACCTGCTGAAAGACCTCACAGAAAGAGGACTGTGGAACGAGGATATGAAGAATCAGCTCATAGCTCATAATGGATCTATCCAGGTAAAAGGCTTATTCAGTTGTTCCATTTCACTGCTCCAATTGTTCCTATAATTAAGCCCAACTTCACTTGTGGAGAACAAATAAAATGTGAATTTGTCCCTCTTCTTTTCAGAACATTGATGAGATCCCAGATGATCTGAAGCAGCTGTATAAAACTGTGTGGGAAATCTCCCAGAAGACGGTCCTCAAGATGGCAGCAGATCGTGGTGCATACATTGACCAAAGCCAGTCGCTTAACATTCACATTGCTGAGCCAAACTATGGAAAACTTAGTAGCATGCACTTCTATGGCTGGAAGTTGGTAAGTTAAGACCAACTGATTCATGGTTGAGGTGGAAATGGAGAAACATCCAAACAGTGTTTGAAACCTTCCCTTTTTTTCCTCCCTCCACAGGGCCTGAAAACTGGCATGTACTACCTGCGGACAAAGCCTGCTGCCAACCCTATTCAATTCACCCTGAACAAAGAGAAACTGAAGGAGGGCCAATCGGCTAAGAGCGTGAAGGAGGAGACCAAAGAGCGCAATACCGCAGCCATGGTCTGTTCCTTAGCAAACAAAGACGAATGCCTGATGTGTGGCTCTTAAATGAAGTTTGCTACGCTCAGACAATCGCATTACTAAATCACCTCAGCTTTGCCACTTAAACCTCTGTTTTTGAAACACTTGGTGCTTTTTATCTGTATAAGATGTAACATGTGGTTTATAAATGCTGATGTCTTCAGATTACAAATATTTACAGTTTTCATAATTTAATATTTTTTTGGGATTTTAAAACATTTTTTCTGTTTTCTTGGGGGGTTTTTTTACATCATGAAGCATTGCATGCGTGTTTTGTATAGAATTAATAGGTTATAATGAATTAATATTTCTTTTAGCTTCAGGTGGGTCATACTAATGAATTCAGGTTGACCTGCATTTTAAATGAATGGAAAATAAAATATTATCCATGCTCTGAGATTCAGCATAATTATTATTATTATTTTTTTTTTTTTTTTTATTGAGAGACAAGTGTACAGTAGTTTACAATGACAACACAATCTGTGCATAATTATTTTTAAAGATACTGCATACAAGTTTTGGATTTTGCTACAGGACATCAAAACCTGTTGGACAGCAGCGCTGGGCTTAAGTTGGGCTGATGAGAACAAAAACAAAGTTTAAGGAGACATTGTGATAGAAAAGGTTATAAGCCAAGGTGATTTTCCAGTGCAAGAGTTTGGATATGTGCCATGGGACCGATGCTGCTGCAGGTGATGAAGTAATGAGCCAGTGTGTTCCTGCCTGAGACCTCATGGGAGTATTATGTATAAAGCAAGCTGAGACCTGTATTGTCACAATGTAGCAACGGGTATAGGTTAGCTGCCTGATGGAAATAAAAGGAGGCGACACTTTAAGACAGGAGAGTTTTATTTCAATGAATGTAAATTGAAAACTTTAACAGCAGTCTGTCTGATAAATAACTAACAACCTAAATGAAATGGAATCGTCTTGGGAGATGAAAACAAGCTCAGAAGCTTCTGGGTTTTGAGAAACACATTTCCAAGTTTGTGCACAGGTATCCAGAGAGCTACAGCTGCTACACACATCTGCACTCAAACATCCTTAAAGCTCATTTATTAAAACTTTCAACTATACTTTGTTTGATCTGCACAAAAACTGCAAGACATTTAAAGAGGGGTTTTCTAAAGGTATGAAGAAGGTCTAAAGCATTGCTGGCAAGCCTCTGCAGTTTTCATCCTTGGGCTTAGAAATAGACTACATGACAAAATGTTTGGCAATCTAAAGATGAATGGATAAAAGTAAATGTTTTTAGGTAGTGGAAAATATCTTGCATGCAAACTGACAGTTTCTCTGCTGATCCTTTGTTTACTTTTTAAGACATGGGGAAAAAGTGGACATCTCAAAACTCTGATCAACTGCACTTTTGTCAGATATTGCATAAAGTGACCAATGAGGCAGCAAGGTCACCTCAAAGGTTAAGGTCTCACTGGTGTGCCATCGATCGATTCTTCCCCTTCTTGGGAACCAAAGCCCATGTCCTGGGAGCTGCTGCTTCCTGTAGGTGAAGGAATCATTTTCTTCATTTCAGGTTTTTCATTGCTCTTCTCATTGTGAGGCGTCTCTGCTACATTATGCTCAGGCTTTCTTCCCTTCATCCAGCTCGGTTGTGCTGCTTTTTTTTCTTGCAGCTCAATGTGATTGAACTTGCAGATTATTTTTTGGGTTTCTATCTTTTCGTCACTCACTTCGATGCTCTCGGCATGTGCAGAGGTCATGTGTTCATCCGGCACTCTTCCCTCCTTGTTCATCCCTCCTTCATTTAGGGTTTCTGCCTCTTCATCCGTGGCCTCGTCACTCAACGTTTCTTCTGTGTTAGTAAAACCGTTTCCTCCTTCCTTCTCCTCTTTCACTTTATTTACACTAATTTCACCTTTGGCTGCTTTCTCCTTCTCATCTGAGTTAATTTCCTTCTTTTCCTCTTGTTCAGCCTGAGCTCGGCCTTCCTCCATTTTCACCACAACAGAGTCAGGAAACTGTCCCTCGTCTCTACATTCATCCACCTCATTCTGTTGAATGTCTGATTCCATCTGTGCTTCAAACTTTTCTTTATCCAGCTTTTCCTCAATGCTGTGCACAGTCACCTTAAGATCTGTGCATTTGTCATCTTGTCTGGTGGTAAAACCTCTGAAATTGTTCTTGGCACCAATGATGTATTTCCCCAGTACAGAGGAGCCATTCTTGGTCGGTGCATCGCTTGTATCGTTTCCATCGTCCATTGCGTACTGCTGGGCGACTTTCAGATCGTTGTGCATCCTGGCGACCGCTTTGCTCAGCTCAGTCATTCGATTTCCAATATCTGAGGGAAGAAAACACTTTAGTCACACCAAAAGCTTTTTAATGATTAATAATTTACTTAAAACTGAAATCAGTGCTTAAAAAAGAAGAAGAAAACCTGCTAAAATCATAGAGCTGATTTATAGAATATCAGGAAGTCAAATTACACACTATATGGACTGAAACATTAGATCAACAAAAGGTGCCTGACCATAAAATGAAGCTTTTGTGCTGATGTTAATGTAAGAGAAGGTTTGGAGCTCTGGTGTTACTGAGTCAGCAGATCATTGGCACAATGACTTCTTTAGAATGATCCATTATTTCCTCTTTTGTTTGTAAAGGCAGACTGCATGCCAAGATGCTTGATTCTATACACCTGTGATAATGGAACTGAAAACACCTGAACTTAAGATTAAGCGGTGTGGCCCAATACTTTTTCCATATAGGGTATATCCGCTCTACAAAAACGAATCAAGTGCTTACTGAAAGAGTCTTTACCTTTCCTCTTGGTCTCCTCAAACTCCCTGCGAGCTGACTCAATGTAGCGCTGCACCAGTGCCGTGATCACCTGCTGACGGTACGATAACTGGCCATCTTCAGATCCCTTATCACTGGACTTTTTACAGAATACAGATAGCATAAAACATGTTAAATGCCATATAGAGTATAATTAACATATATTAAGTAAAATGTAAAAGATAATATATTCTTTTACTAAAATCCAATTCATACACACTTACTATAGAGGCTATGGGGGGATATTTTTGCTCAGAGGAACAAGTGCAGCAGCAGCAGATTCGTCTAAAGATGCCCCTTGAATGGAATTTTTAAAAATATATATTTAAAACATTTTTTAAAAATTCAGAATAAAAGGCTGTTTTTCTAGTTTAAAATCTGTATTTTTGCAGCTCACCTTAGGATGTAAAAAATGGCTTTGGGGGAGGGGATGATGTTGAAAGGCACAGGCATAGTGAGGCCCTCTCTGAAGTAGCTGAGGTACAGCTTTGACCTGGCAAATTTCCACTCAACGTCCGCGTCATCCTGAATTAAAATAAATGCACATCAGTCAGTGCGCATCCCAGAAGGGGAGGGGGGGGGCGCTTTTGTAGACGTTACACAGGAGGATGGTAATTCTTTACCTCAATTTTCTGAAAGGAGTTTGTTATCATGGCAATAAGCATGTTGAGAAGTACAATGACAATGACAAGAGTGAAGATGCCATACAGGACCCTTCCTACAAATTCTGCCAACACAAACTCTGGCATGTCCACATATTCCTGGTTTACAACTCCAAACATGGTCCAGAATAGGAAGCGGAAGGTCTCATTAAACCTGTGAAAGTGAAGAAAGGCACAGGCATGATGTGAGGGTTGTTTTATTTTATTTAAAAAAAACAAGACAAGTTATAATCAAACTATAATATCAGGGGGTTGAACAATAAAGCCTTTGTGACAATTACCCAAAACTGCCAAGATGTGCAGAACAAAAGGGTGAATCTTTTTATAACTCATCTGTTTTAAGAGTTAAGTTGTGCATTTTTATGGGACATGAGTATTTTGAATGACAGGTGACTCCCCCGGTGAGCTGTCTATATGTTATATACTGAACAGTGGATGCAGAAAGTGTACACACCAATGGTAAAATGCTGGGGGGGGTTTTCATGATGCAATCAATACAATTTTTCCCACCTTTAATGGTATACAGTATGTCCCCTGTACAATTCAATTGGAAAACAAATCTGTTAGGGAAAATATACACTACAAAAGTACAATAGGCTTGTTGCGTACACCGATATTCTAGGACTTTGAAGCATCTTTTGAGTCTTCTTGGGTACATAGCTGCCATCAATTGGAGACTCTGGTTAATCCCAAATAAAGTTCAGCTGTCCTAAGAGGATTTCTCTGAGATTTACTCAGTTGCCTGCTTCAGCCAAAGCCATGGGTTGCAAAGGGCAAAGCCTCAAAAGAATCTCACTGTTGAAAGGTATCAGTTGCAAGAAGTGTACAAAAAATGTTTTCACAATATTTGAAATTTCATTGAACAGAGAAGACAGCCATCAAAAGGTAGAGGGAAAAATAGGACACTAATTACACTGGAAAGAACTGGACTTTGTTGCAAAATGAACGAAAAGACGAGATGTAAACCGGTCAGAGAAGTTGCCCAGAGACCTACAGCAACACTAAAAGAGCTGAAGCTCCAGTACTGGCAAGTCCTTGTTGTATACTACATGTGACAACAATATCCAGTGTTCTCCTTATGTCTGGACTATGGTGTAGGGTTGCAAAATGGAAGCCTTTTCTGATAAAGTTTGGTATGTTTGGTACAAAAATAATTCCTATGCATCACCAATAGAACATCATACCCACAGTGAAGCACGGTGGTGGTATCATTTTTAGGTTGCTTTTCTTTAGCTGAAACCGGGGCTTTAGTCAAGGTGGAGGTAATTACAGCTTTGTACACCTGTCGCTTTTGACCCAAATCCTTTTGGAGTCTACCAGACAGCTGAAGAGGAATTTTACCTTTTTAGCATGACAATGACTCTAAGCATGCAAATCAAAAAGATAATGGCTTCACTAGTAGAAATTACCCTGAAGATGGTTGTGCACAAGAAAGGCCCTCAGAAGCTGACAAAAGTGGACAACCAAGTCAAGATGTAGCATGCTGGTAGACTCCCTTCCCTAACAGATGATTCAATTGAACTGTACTGGTTATAGGTCACACGAAAAGTGGGAAACACTTTTAAATGATTTATTTGGATCTTTTTTTTTCAATGACAAAAACTGGTATTTCAACAGAGGTGTGTACACTTTACATTCAGTGTATGTGGCTTGATAAGTATGAGTTCCTTTGAGATTGACAGGAAGTCTGTGTTCAGGTTTTAGTTGGAGAAATTATTGTATTTCATTTATGCACTTTTTCAGAAGATATCACCTGATAACTTAAGCTTCAAAAATAGAGTAAAAAAAACCATTATCCCATATTATTAACAAGCTTTGAGAGCTTAGATATTAACTGTAAGGGCTAGTCTACATTTCTGTAGATCATTTAAATTAGAAATACTTTTTACTGCCTTCAGAAAAGATGATGTAAAAGTCTCTCAAACTCTCTCTAGTCTTACCTGCCAAGATTTGGAGAAATGACATAAGGAACATAGATATTGTTGATGCCACAAAGGAAGGCGGTGCCAATGATCATCAGTATGAACATAAATCTAAAAACAAACAAACAGAAAAGAAACATTGACATAATTCTGGTTCTGTATATTCAGATGTAAAAATATAAGGAATCAGATATAAGTGACCTCATCATATCATCAATCATCTTTCCAATGGAGATCTGTAGTGTTCCCAGAGATTCGTGGGCTGGCAGGATATATGCCAGCCGTGTGAAGCTTAACATGCTGGTCACTGCAAAGAGGACCTCGGCAATCAGCTGAGGATCTTCCTGGTGCCAATTGTCACGTGCTGCAAGACAATTTCACAGAGTCAAAACAAAACAAACAAACAAACAAACAAAAAAAAAAACAATTGAGCATTGAGATTTGTGACATTCATTTTGGATGAATGATTTTTTTTCCCCTTACAAGTCTGGGTGAAGTAGACACACTCCTCTGTGCCATCATGATCATGGCAGAGGAAGAAACCTTTGAGCAAGATAAGCACACGTAACGCAAAAGATGCCAGGTACATGCTGAGCACCATCACGTCCAAGCAGTTCCACCAGTCTAGGAAGTAACTCCGAAGCCCCTCGATCCACACTTCCTTACACTCATACCAGAAGAATCCTTTAAGAAACAGACAATCCAAACCCTGTTCACATCTAATGGCTGTTGTCTAAAAGTTAAAACTAGAGAAAGTGCACCTACCGACCACCCACACCATGTGGAAGGAGCTGTGCAGAAGGTTCTGCTGCCGGGAAGCAAATGTGTCCTGATATAGCTCCATGGTTATCGATTCCCCAAGTAATGTAATGAGAAACCACAGGTAGGATGCAGAGTGAAGAAGAAACTTGATCACAGGAATTCTTACTAGCTTTCCCAGCTGGGGAACAAACAACACAGTCAACTTAAAATTGAAATAATACCTCACATAGGGATGGGTACCGGTATCCATGGCACCGGTTCTGACATAAACGGTAGTAACCAGACAGAAAAGCAGCGCACATTTCGGTGCTTTTTTTTCCTGAGCTGTGATACACTTTAGCCTGCAACAAGTGTTTTAAGCCGATACTGTGATACTGTCAAAGGAGGTAACACCTCAAATCTCATGAAACACCTGGCGATGCATAGCGGGTTTTTTTTTAAAGCCGAGAAATGCGCCGTATTTGATAGCTTGCTGCGAGACCTCACGCCGTGCACATCTACTGCGGGTGTGGTGCCTGTTATCGGACCCGCAGTTAGCAATGTCCCCCAAAAACACGAAGAGGAGAGTCCTGGCCCCTAGTCCTGCCAGTGTAGCAGAAATGATGACGGATGATGATGCAGCAGCAGCCGCTCTTCTCTGCGTGAGTAGCTTAATGTTGTTCGTGTGTAATTTACGTTGAGTAAGCTAACCACGTTATTACATTAATGCATGTAAGGTGAACTAGCAAACATCATCATAGCTACATGCAGCTGTCTTCTTGTTTGATGGCAGATACTCCCTTCACCCTGGCCAAAAAGGCTAAAATGACCAAAGAAAAAGTGGGAAACAGTTAAACATGAGAGGTTTTTGGACAAAGTTTATGTTTTTTCCATTGTTTAAGCACTGCTTGCAGCCAAGAGTGATACCATATATGCCCCATAGCTGCAGAAAAGGCTAACATTGTTATCTTTTTACAAAAAAAACCAGCTGAACATGAGAGGTTTTTGGACCAATTTTGTGTTCTCCATTCTTTAAGCACCGGTTTAAGCACCGGCACAGTTTCAAAAGTACCGGTTTGGCACCGGTACCGGATAAAACCTAAACGATACCCATCCCTAACCTCACATGACATATTTATGTACATCCAATATCAACCTGCTACTACAGAGTGTGTGACCTTTGACTTTGGTGCAATCCAGTAGGCAAGGCAAAGAAGGGGCATGGTAAGAAAGATTCCCATAGAGACAAACAGCTTCCAGGCCGTTCTGCTACCTCTCCAGCCTGCCAGTTTCCCACACCAGATAGAGGACAGAACCTGCTGACAGATTGGGTGCGCCACAAACTGCCACAAACAGAGAGAAACAGAGAAGACAGGAATTGATTGTTTCTTATCTTACTTGTCTTTGGTTGGCATCAGTTTCTAATTCTAGCTACCTGCTTCTGGTTGTAATTGACTGCAAGCCGCAGGCGAGACAGGCTGGGGATTCCTTCCTCAAAGGCCTGTTCATCCAAGGAATCCTGAGTTTCATTTCCACAGCTGTTCAAAATAGTGGTTACCTCGCTCTGGTTGCGACACATGCCCAGCAACTCCACGGCAAACTCCTGACAGATCTGCTCCAGGCTCAGGTACTGAGGCTGTAGGAGAAATTAACCATAAGTCAAGAAGCAACAGAGACACCCGTAATGAATAGTGAGCAGGGATAACTATGAATCTCCTCAGACCTTGAACTCTGGCTCTTTCTGTGACAGCTTACGGAGTTCTCTGCTGAGACTGAAGGCGCTGAGCATGGCATCGTCAGAGGTGATGGACAGGTAGGCACGGCTGGCAATGCCACGATAAGTATTGATGCGAGACAGGGAGAACTTCAGCAGGTCATACTGCCGGCCGTTAGAACACTCCAAACAGGCGCAGGAGATCTTATGTGGCCACGGGATGACGTGGCCTTTCTGGGTGAGCATGGTAACAATCTCGTACAGGTCTTTCTGGCAGGCTAAAGTCAGAGGGGTCACACCAGGGGCAAACTGAGAGTTGTCAACAGAACGATCAAATATGGCCTGAGAGAAGGATCGTACGTCCATCTTGTTCCCTTTCTCCTGATCCAAGCGGTCCAGGAGACGCTTCACCACTATGGGTTGGTTGGTGTCCACGGCGACTAGCAGAGCCTCATGAATCTGCCGGAAGTCAAACTTGACTCCTTGCAGGAGGGCGTCCATGGCATCCTCGTTGCCCAAGCGGATGGAGAGGTTGAGGGCCTCCCTCCACTGACGATCCTCAGACTCATCCAGCTGACGGGTAATGCCGTCACCTGTCTTCAAGAGTCCACACAGCAGCGCTGTTTCCCCCTCCTGAATGGCACTGATGAGCGCTGGAGAGAACCGCATCTTCTTGCTCATAATCTCTCGCCATTGCTCTGGCTGCAGGACAGACCGGGAAAGTCAGCAGCAGTCTCAGATTCACACACTCGAAGTCTTTGATTTTAAACCATTTTATGCTGTTTGATTATGTTTAGACAACAAAATTACTCAGTTAGATTTGAGGAAAAAAAAATCATGGTTTGGTTAAAATAGACTTTGAAAGCTTTAACCACAAGGCTTACAAAGTGAACAAAGGTCTGAGGGTAAGCTTTTCTGTTCTGTCAAGATTTTTTTGGCACTGAGGCCAAATACCAGATTCAACTGATCCTTTGATAAAAATAGCAAGATATACTAGGAATAAAAGAACATGCAAATAGGGAAAGATTTGACTTGGAAATGCATGACATATATGAACACAAACATTAGTAAAACAAAGAATTCCAATTTATTTTTTTAAAGCTGTTCCAGTTTATATGAAGCACAGTAGGGTTAGACTTGCTTTTTTGTTTTTGTTTTATTAACCCGCAACTACTTTTTTCATATCAAATAACAAATAAAAGCCACGAGCCAATAAAAATCTCCTTACCGTTAGTTTTTCCATTCCCAATCACAAAACAACACGATTTCGAGAGGCGGCTCTAAATCGAAAACAGAAGCAGATTCACTGAAACTTCAGGGATGAAGATATTGGCAGATTGCACAATAATTCCAAAAGAGGTGAACTGAGAACTCCGTAGTCCTCTGATCATGTGCTATCGGCTGACTACTGAAAAATCAACGTACACAAACTCAATAACAAATTTCAAAGGCCCTCGGGGCTAGGCCAATTAAAATGTTACCGGTTCAAAGTACTTTATGCTTGGCTGGGCCCAAACCAAACTGTGACTGCATTCAAACAGAAATTAATTCCGGTCTCTCAATTGGAAACAGCACCATGGCACAATTAAGGCAGCTGTTGCTGAACACACAGCAGCTGTCACCATTTCTCCCAGAGGAGCTGTGAGGAGCAGTGGGAAAAACAAGGAGCTGCAAGTTAAACATTTACAAATTTTCACGGGTCTGATTTAAATCTTTTCCTGGAAGTCAGATTTTGTCCATTCATTAAAAATGCATGTTATAATTATTGTCGTGAAACACAAAGTTTCCCTTGATTTTACACCGATCATGTTTATAGGGATTTTTCAAAATCACTGCAATTTTGCCAACATTCTCTGTATATTGCTGCTAAACTCATAGCTCCAGCTACACTGTGTGCGCTCATGGCTTTGGTCCAAATTTGTTATTTCGTTTACGTTTACTTTAGAAACAGAAATACATCCCTATACTCCTTTACTACAAAAATGTCTACCAAGCAGCTGATGGTACCGCACTCGTAAAAGAAAGCATGTGCTATGTTTAAATGATGGTCCAACAAGTTTTAATGTGTAGTTATCCATGATGTAAAATGATTGTCAGAATTAATAATCCTGTTAGCAGCACAGAGAAAACACTTTTATATCATTGGCTACAAGAGGATTTCTTTATCACGTAGAAAAGACTGAGACATACTGTTGAGAATGAACTTCTTTTTCTTATATTAGGATATCTCAAGGATTAAATGTGTAGTTAAACTTCTGTACAGTGCTAGAAAGTTAGAGTTTGACTAGTCTGGCACACTGATTAACTGATTAACAGTGAAACCGACTGACTTCAGCTTCTTGCAAACATAATTCTGAACAGCAGAGGGAGTAAAACTACCTCTGTAGACTTTAAGATGAGCTCTAAACTGAGACTGCTGTTCTTCTGGTTGAACAGGAACAAACACAAGGTCGATATGTTTTGGTCAAAGATTTAGTATTTATTGGTTCATAATTACAGCAGAATTTGGTGAAGAAAAGGGACTGTGCTGGTTTGGTCTAAATGCCCTAAACTATAATCTATTTGAGCTTTCATGTTAGCACTGGGGAGATCTAAGACACGACTTTCAAGATGAAGCTGAACAAGAAGTAACAAATATTCTGTGGTTTATTAAAAACGTCTACACATTTCCAAAATGGTACTAAAATCTTATTTTCCCCACATCCAAAGCAAAGCAAAGCAAAACTAAACTGCCCAATAACATGTCCTCTCGCGTACCTTCACAGGGACGTGGGAGTCTATTATGAGTACACACAGTGGTGCTCTTTACTCTATCAGGTGGTCACTGCACACCACCTTTGGCTACTCTATGCTGAATGAAAACACATGGCTGATCTCTGTGGTGACCTGTATGTACATTAAAAACACATTTCACTTTAAAATTAGTGTCTTCATTTTCCCTCCTTTTCTGAGAATTCTCCTTATCCCCATTTGCAAAAATGACAAGAGCCAATCTGAGTGTAAATTAAATAGAAAACATAGTTCTTTAACTCATAACAAATAACCCCTTTATTTGCATTTATTAACCATCCCAAAAAGAAAGCAAAAGTTACCATAAAACTACACATTACACCGAAGGGAAATCATCTGAAACTACAGTGAAAATAAAAACTTGCACCTGAATTAGTGGGATTTTTATCCTTAGATTACTCAAAGCATAGTATGATCTTCAGCCATGTCAAAATTATAGACAAAAGATATTTCACTAAACATACAAAAACAACTGTACTTCTCATGCTTTCACTGACCACACAGAATAGACACCACCGACTTGTGCAAAAACTACTCTGAGGTGTTACTATTGAGGCGATTGAAAGTGTGGGTTGTCCCTTTCTATAAGTCAAACCACACAATGTCTGCTCTTCTTAAGAAAGAGATACTTTGGGACAATGTTCGAAATTAGTGTTCTAAATGTTCAATGTTCTAAATCTTTTGGCAAAATGCACACAACTACATCTGGAGGAAAGAAATGCAAGGAAGATATTTTGTTTAAAAAAATCTAGACTGTGAAGCATGGAGGAGGGATCATCGTGGCTTGTAGCTGCCTTTTTGCAGTGAGGCTGTGTTGGAAGAATTTAGGTAACAATTCAAACTTATACCAGAAATTTTACTAAAGAAGTCAAGACAGCAGCTGACCTTGACTAGGAATGTCTGACTCTTGCAACAAAATAATACAAAGCAATGACAACATCACAGAATCACCGATGAATTAAAACTGGTTTGCTGGGGAGAGTTGTTCAAGTTTTCTCACAGTTGTCTCATAAGCAGCAAGAAACATCTGGTAAAGGTTGTTGGTGTTTCCAGCCGGTGTGTTCAATGAAAACATGAAAATGACTGTTTTTGTTTAGTTTGACTGTGTTCGTCTGATAATTGTAGCTCAGATAAAGAAGTAGTGGTGCAGAAATCTTGTCAGGATGTCAGACATTTTTATGCAACTCAACATGTTTTTAAAACAAATTCAATTTTCCTACTCATTTTATGTCACCAACTTAAGAAGACATTATGTGCGCTGCCAACTGAAATTATTACTTTAACAGTAAAAACACTACATTAAAAGACATTCGGGTGTCTCTCTGAGGCTGATATTTACTCCTCTTTACAGAGTAACCATGATTTAACACTTGAATGTGACATTATGCTTGAGACGTGAAAAGTTCTGGAGGCGGAGAAAACCAGCAGTGTGTGTCAGAAGCTATCCAGACTACTTAAAACATGAGTGAAGAGGAACTAATAGCACTGAAATACTTAAAACCAAACATACTTAATGAAAATCACTGACACAGCCCTAATTCATTAAAAACACTAAGATAAAGCATCAACAAAAAAGGTGAACATCCTCTATATTCACAAAAATCTCCTCAAAGTTAAATAAAAAATAAAATAGCACTTTTAAATGTACAAAAAACAGGTGTGTTTCACTTCAGGTGTGAACAGAAAATAACGTTCACATTGTGACAAACAGTGCAGGTCAGCTGAATAGATTTCAGAGTTCTTCCATCCTCGACTCAGCATCCTCCTTCATCTTTTGCTCCTGCATGCGACTGCGAGTGGAGCCTACGTGAAAACAAAAGCGATGAAAATCAGTCTAAATAGCTAAATTACAGACTATGACATGGATGGAGCCAGCATGATGTCGCACAAAGGGTTTCTGGATTTGGATTTTTCAGGAATCAACAGTCCACATATATGGTCCGGTCTACTTATATATGTACATGGGACATTTTAACATTGAGTCTATAAGGATTTACTCGTTTTCGAAGAAAGCCTCAAGTAGGGATTGGAGGAACTGTAGTTTTTGACAGACACGTTTAGCTTAATGGGGGGTGGGGGGGTTTAGCCCCTGAAGCCTTTTATTGATACAAATACTTACTCATCTCTGCAAGCTTCTGAATCAGTGTAGAATCTCCTCCAGATTTGCTGTAATTTAGATAAAATAAAGAAAGCGTTAATGAAATCATTCTTCATACTGCAGAATCATACAGTGAAAACAGAAATTTTACATATTAATTGTAGAAGCTGATCTCAAAATGAATAGCTGTTGTTTTTAAGTAGTGCAGTGGCACTTTGGGGACACTGGAATGTGCTGTCGTGCATATCTGTAAATAAGTGTTCATCAAGTGATGCTAATAGCGCTTGTAATTGATTACTTAAATAATAAATATGCAGCTTAGGGCTGTTCGATATAACGATATATATCGGATGACGATATAAAAACGTCTATCGTTTCATTTTACGCCATCGTTTGCTTCGTGGTGTTGCAAAATAAACTGTTTATAGCAATATTTTTTCATCGTTTTGATGGTTACTGTAGTGGCTATATTAATTTCTTAAAGTTCTCTCTTTCTCTTATATTTAATATAACCACACTAAGGACGGACAAGCGCCTGTTTTTATGCATTGTCGTTAACAACAACGACGGTAAAACCATCACATGTCCGCTTGTTTATTTTCCACATAAACCTTTCACAATAAAGCTCAAGATCCTGTTGAGACTTTTCAAAATAAACTGAATCACATGAAATAGTATGCAGATATTTACCGATGAGAAGCAAAAAACAGCCGTCAGGTGCTAAAAAATAAACCTTAGACTCAAACGTTAAAACGGGCTTTTCCCTGCAGCACGCCGCAAAGAAAACAGCGACCGTTAAAACCTATGTCTAAAAATGTTTCATGCATTGGTAAAACACTCGACTCCAGATACACGACGCCCAGCTGGAAACACTTCAGCTACTCAAGATTCACAGAATTTACAGAAAATGTTACATTTTTGTGATTTATATCGTTATCGGACGATAAATGTTTTATATCAGGATATGAGATTTTGGTCATATCGTATAGCAGCTTATAAAGAAAAAGAAATATATGTATTAGTCTTTTAGTTTTAGCCATCTGACTATTTGCAGGGATATAAAGGAAGAACACAATAAATGTAACTATATGTCTGTGTTTTAATGCGTGCGTGACGTGAACAAGTCTCGCAGGCCACGCAAAAACCACTTGCACAGCAGGTTTGTGCCAGTAACACAACATGATGAGCAATTATTCCTTCTCCCATGAAAAAGCTGGAGTACTGCAAGAACTCACTCAAGGGAGGAAGAACAAGCAAGCAAACAAACACAGACAGGCCACATCCAGCAAAGGGAATTTGAACACAGGACATTTTCACTATGAGGCAACAGTGTTAACCACTTCACCACTGTGGTCAAACTTATGCTATATCATGCTCCCAAAATTTAGAAGTCTGACGGGGAAACTCCAACAAATGCTGAGCCTACACCTTTCAGTTGTAAAACTGACACCGTGCCTCTGGAGCGAAACCTGACACTCGTTCTTTAAAGTCAAAACAGGGTTTTGCACTGGTGAAGGCAATGTAGACCCCTAATATAGGTCAAAGAGTGTGTTCTTGTGGGACGATGTTGGACAATGTTTGACAATATATTTGACAATTGCCCATTATACTTGCTGCACTGGTCAAAC